CAGGAGGGCAGGGGGAGCCCTGCCATTTTAACATAACATTTGGACCCTCATCTCTCATCTCCTTTCTGTTTTTCTGGTTGTTTATTTTTTCCTCATTCCCGATGCAGAGGCACGGAAGTAACCTGACAACAACCCTCCCCCTGCCAGGCACAGGGCCTCCCCTTGGTCCTCTCCTGTGTATTGTATTTCTACAATACACAGTTAGCAGTGTCTAGGAACTCTGTTTTCACACTCTGAGGAGTGTGAATCTGTCAACCAGAACAATCCTTCACTAGCTCTAAACTGGTGCCATGATTCAGGAGCTAATTAACAGCTATTAGATAATGCAATTAGCACCACAAACTGTCACCCCTCTCTGAGTATCTCTTCCCTTTATGGGTATGAGCCATAAATGTTCAGCATCTTCTATTCCCTCCTTTTCCTCTCTCCTCTCATCAGTGTGGTGATGGCTGAACTAACTGCCCAGACCCACATCACATCAGCAGTTTGATATGACAGGACTAATCCCATTAAGATTTTCATCCTCTCGGCACTTTTAGGAAGGCAAAGACAAGCAGGGGGCTGCCGTGGGGCTGGCCAGGCTCTTTCCAACTGTGACACCAAAGGTGATGTGCACTAGCCCAGCCTTCTGCATCCAGCCAGAGCAGGGGGTGATGTGTGCCTTCTCCTGGGACGTGCCTGCAGTGGAGGGGGTCAGCTTCCCTTCCTCCTGGAGACAAGCAGCACCAAGAGCCAGCAAGGATCCAGCACCACAGGATCTAGCCAACCAGGATCTGGCAGCCACAGCCACCCCATCCTGTCCCTGGGCTTGAGGTCTCTTCAGTTTTGCTGTTGCTCCAAACCAATGCAGATCAAAGGCCCATCTCCTCTGGGAGCAGCTCACACTCATAAGCGGCTCTTAAAGTAAGGGTTCCTCTAATTCCTCTCCTTCCTCTAAACGTCTTTCTCCCCAGGCTGGTGTATGAGTGTGGGGCTTGTTTTATGGTGGGGATGCTTGCAGAGCACACTGGGTGTGTGCACAGCCCTGATCATTCCCAGAGATCTTGCTTCAAGCTGCATGTGGATCAGATGTGGCTCTACCCCCACCACCACACCCACTTCCCCCAGCACTGAGGTTGAGACTGGGATGGAGGCAGTGTCAAAACAGGAAGCGGCATGGCTGGTGGTGACATGAGGGACACAGGCTGTGGAGGGGCAGAGGGAGGCTGTGCAGCACAGGGAGGAAAGGCAGGGAACACTGGGACAGTAGGGCTGCTTGGTCCAGGAGCTCATCCCATAATTTGAGGTGCCACCATCATATGGGTGTGTGTAAATACCAGCCTCTCCAATTGTCTTCGCCACACTGATGGGGAGGGTGATCAGCTCCTTCCACACAGAGAGCAGAGGCAGGAGTTGAGTGCTCAGCAGGTGCTCAGTCACTAACTGCACCTAGTGGAGCACCACCTTCTAGCTAATTCAGACTTTTTGGGTACAGGAAGATCATCAGCAGTCCATGACAGGGCTTTTGCCTTTTCTACCTGGCAACAGGCTGTAAGGCAGTTTGCAGGAGCTGAGAGTCTGGCAAGGCTTGCTGGAATTGCATATAAGGTGTGCAGCAAGGAAATAGCCGGAGTTTTCTGCTGTGTCATTGGATGTCACCCTGTGACTGAGGAGGGGTGGGCAGCACTGGCTTTGCTCTCTTGTTCTGGAGCTGTCTCCTCACCCAACAGTGGTGGCACCTACGATTTCAGGCAGCAATGGGGACCCTGCTGTGCCAAGCGCTGCCCAAAATAGTTGGACCCCATCCAAATTACAACCTTCTCTGCTTGAATCTGTGGCTACCTGTGCCTTATGTCTTCATCCATAACATGCAAGATGCTGTGTGGGAAGGGAAAGGTGTTTCACTATCTTGATGATGCAATTGCTGAGCTCTGCAGCAGCCACAGAAACCCTTAGCCCCAAAGATGCTCTTGGTGAAGAGTTGGAGACTCCTAATGGCTTTGGTGGAGAGGAGAAAACCAACCATAAATCATTGCCAAAAGTCTGAGGAATTTTGCTGTAGCTGGCTGGTGCAAGCAAGCGTGGCAGAGCACCCACTGAGCACTGCAGACATAGGATGACATGAACAGGCTGAAAAGCCAATTGGTGTCACAGATAGGGGCCTCAGCCCCAGGAGCCCTTCTGAAGTGATCTCCGAGCCTTGCAAAGGCTAAGTCTCCTTCCTATCTGCAATGTCATCATGAAGGTGGGAGGCAAAAGAGGATGGAGACAAGGAGGGTGATGGGGGGTGCATGAGGGGAGGGAGAGAAGAAATGTGCTCCTGGAGGTGCAGGCAGCGAGAGCTGGGCACTGGGATACACATGGGAGACATTTAGCAGGGAGACCCCAGGGCCTGAAGAGCTTCCTTGGTGTCTGGGGGCTTCACAGAATTGGGAACAATGACGTGGCTGGCATGAGGGTGGAAATGCAGTCACACTGGTGAGTTTGTCACAGCACCACAGCTCTCGTGTGCTCTCTCCATCCTCAGATACATCATGCAGATGCAGACAGATCTGTGATTGCCTGAGGGCTGTGTCCCTACCCAGGCCCTACCTGCCCAACCTGGATACTCTCCATGTCAAAGGCAAATGGCAGGATCTATCCCCAGTGCCTATGTAAGCGTGATGCATGGCTTGGTCAACTGCTCCGAGCCCTAACAAATTTGTAACATCCTTGGCCTACTCCCAGCTCTGGACTGAGCTGCCTGCCCTACTCAGGAAGGCAAAGGCAGTGCAGAGCTGTCCCAGTGAGTTCAGAGAGGGAGTAGCAGACAGAAGAGTGAGATAGCTGGATGAAGAGAGCAGGAAATGGGGGAAAAAAGGGACGCCCAGTGAGCTGGGGGATGGCAGAGTCAGGGCATCTGAGGCGAGGTGAGTGGTGTACACATCTTCAACTTGTATGTGTTGCTGTATGTCTGTGCTGTATGTATCCTCACACCTTTAAGCATTTTCACTCCCCCTCCTTCCCTCACACGGGTGATTGCTTTATTTTTGCTATTCGGTGAAGGTTCATTTTCAAAATGCCCGTTTAAGCCCTCCACCCTGGGGCTGCGATTGCCTCTGCCTCATCACACCATTTTGCAGCATGACCTCTGGGTGGCATCCAAACGCACGTGTGTGGGTCTGCGTCAGCCTTTCCTGCTTGTCTCGTGACCTGTATAAACAGTTGCCCAAAGTAAGAAAAGTCCATCTCAACCCACTCCACAAAACTGAGAACACGAGCCCCTGTCAAGGCCGATAATTAATTAGATGCACTTAGAAGAGGAGGCTGGTTCATGAACAAAAGTGAGAAAAGTGAAACCCTCATTTTAGCAGAGACAATAGAAAGGTTTCTTTTCAAGATTTTCAGATTCTTCTTGGAAGAGCTGGGGTAGATGTCTGCATGATTGCTAGGTTGTCTGATCAGTTTGATTAGCTGTTACAAGAATGACAGTTAAATCTCCCCATCTCACCAAAGTGAAGAAATTAAAACTCATTTCAATTGTACTGAAATCAACCCCCAAACTGCCATGATTATATATTTCTAAGCCATTTTATATACTTATCACCTCTTCTGACATCCCTGGCTGGGTGCCCAGGAAGGATGGCAGCAGAAACCTCTCTCCCCCTCCCTTGATGCATCCCTTGCACTTGGAGCTGGGTGTAAAGCTGGGCAATGCCACTAGGCTTCCTCCCCCTGTTGGTATCTGGAATTTAGCATGTACCAAAGGGTACTGCTTTCTTTTCAAAGTATTTTGTCTTCATGGACCACGTGTAACAGGCTCAGAAGGTAATGGTAGAGAGGTATCTCTTTGTCCCTCACCCACTTCTTTCCCCTGCACCTGGAAGAAAAGCTCCACCACTACCGTGGCTGTAGCCTTGCTAATGCAGAAGCTGCCCAATGGCTACATTGGTGCCTGGCTTTAGCATCTCAGCAGCCATGTTTCCATTTAATTATACCTGCATCTCTTTAGAAAGTGGTTATATTAAAACCTTGGCTGCTTGCTGATGGCAGAAATCTTCTACCCTCACCACAAATGAAAGACAAGGGCATTTCTTTTAAAATACTTTAAATAGATGAACTGATCCCAAAGCCTGCCAGACCCTGTTTGGAAGAGGCGCATGTTAATGGCATGTTTGTACACTTAGCAAAATCAACTTCAGGAGTCCCAGGCATTGGGAGCCAGCACCCACACCAGCTTGAAGAGACATGTTGTGCCAAGGGCTCCCACTGTGTGGACACCCACTTGCTCACTGGTTTCTACGGGGTTCCTGGCAGCAGCACTCATGGGGCTGGATGGGCTGCCCGGCAGGACCGCTGCCCTGGGCGCCAGGCAGAGCTGCTGGAGAGGCTGCCCTTGCTGGGCTGGTGGGGTTGGGATGACCCCAGCACCCAGGGTAAAGTTGCTGAAGGCCCAGCATGTTTTGGGGGTCCATGTGGTGCAGAAGAGGCAGGTCCAGCGGGAAGCTCTTCTGTCTAGCCCATCTCTCTCAGCACCTTTGCTTTTCCTACACCTTCCAGGAAATTCCCCTTCAACCTAACACAGCAATTTTGGTCTATTGATTTTTTTTAGAGGTCCATTCTACTCTACTCTGGAGTTAACCACAGGCATCTTGGTTTGGATGAAGGCAGTCTTTCTGTCCGTAATTCTCATCATCTTTCATAAATAATTCCATGTTGAGGTGTCTGACTTCACCCTGTACATCTCCATGGCTGGGGTGGCAGCAGCTGCAGCGTGATGTGGGACTGGGGTAAGGGCCATCACTTACCAGTGTCACTGACTGATGGCACTCATGCAACTCCCTCCCTCTCCTGCACCTGCTGGGGCTAGCTGTGAACTGGGCCAAACCAAATTACCCATTTTCAGCCTTGGCTTTTCAGCCATCTGCATCCGAGCAGTCAACCTATTGGACAGGTCGGTGCCCCCAGTAAGATATTGTGGGAGTCACACAAACTCCTTGGGTCTGAAGCTGTAGTGTAACTTGCTGTTTTCCTTGTCACAGATTTCATCTTCCAGAAGGAACTGTTTGCTGCCAGAGACACAGGTGAGCTGAGTGGGCCATGGCACAGGCTTTGTGGATTAACCCCCCTCTTGGGGAGTGCTTTGGGGAGCTCAGCAGGACATGCTTGAGGCATACCACAAACCCACTCTCATCTCTGAGGCAGAGCACTGGCTCCATGCCATGCTGTTCTAGCAGCGAGTGCTGTGTGTGCATCACTGCTGGGCTCTGCAGCCCTGTTTCCCCAGAAGATCTTTGGTCTCTGTGTGCCTCTCTGGGGCACACGAGGTCTGTGCTTCTACCGGGATGCAGTTTCTGGCCCTGCAAAAAAGGATCGTCTCACCCTGGTCAAAGGGCTGTCCCTAGCCCTGACCCTGCTTCTCTCTCTGTAGCCTGTGTGCCTCCTCTACTGCTAAAAAAGGGACACAAAAACTGCCTCCAGAGAACTTCTGGGGGAAGGCTGTAGTGGCAGAGAAAGGCCAGGAATGCCATGAGATTTTTGAGCGCTAGCCAAGAGCAGTGATGGCCTGGGAAACTGAGGAGGCAGCAAATGCTGCCATCACAGGCCGCCAAGTCTGATATTCTCCCTTTCTTTCCCCATTCCCCTTGCAGACTCCATGCACAACCTTTCTGCTCAGCCCTGGCAGGCAAAGATGGCCAACCTGACCTATGACAACTTCACCCTGGGCAACCACTCCGAGGTGGCCATCCAGCCTCCCACCAACTACAAGACAGTGGAACTGGTTTTCATTGCCACAGTCACTGGCTCACTCAGCCTTGTCACCGTGGTGGGGAACATCCTGGTGATGCTCTCCATCAAGGTGAACCGACAGCTCCAGACCGTCAACAACTACTTCCTCTTCAGCCTGGCCTGCGCGGACCTTATCATTGGGGTCTTCTCCATGAACCTCTACACTGTCTACATCATCAAAGGCTACTGGCCGCTGGGGGCCGTGGTGTGTGACCTGTGGCTGGCTCTGGACTATGTGGTGAGCAATGCCTCTGTCATGAACCTGCTCATCATCAGCTTTGACCGGTACTTCTGTGTCACCAAGCCCCTGACGTACCCTGCCAGGAGGACCACCAAGATGGCAGGGCTGATGATTGCAGCTGCATGGATATTGTCCTTCATTCTCTGGGCCCCTGCCATCTTGTTCTGGCAGTTCATTGTGGGCAAGAGGACAGTCCCTGAGAGGGAATGCTACATCCAGTTCCTCTCCAACCCAGCAGTGACCTTTGGCACGGCCATTGCTGCTTTCTACCTTCCTGTAGTCATCATGACAGTGCTGTACATCCACATCTCCCTGGCCAGCAGAAGCAGGGTGAGGAGACATAAGCCTGAAAGCAGGAAAGAGAGGAAAGCCAAGTCCCTCAAGTTCCTCAAGGGCCCCCTGGTCAAACAGAACAATAATAACTCTCCCAAGAGGGCTGTGGAGGTGAAGGAGGAGGTGAGGAATGGGAAAGTGGATGACCAGCCATCAGCACAGACAGAGGCCACTGGCCATCAGGAAGAGAAGGAGACGTCTAATGAGTCCAGCACTGTCAGTATGACCCAGACCACAAAAGACAAACCTACGACAGAAATCTTGCCAGCGGGGCAAGGACAAAGCCCGTCCCACCCACGGGTGAACCCAACTTCCAAGTGGTCCAAGATTAAGATCGTCACCAAGCAGACTGGGAGTGAATGTGTCACTGCCATTGAGATCGTCCCAGCTAAGGCTGGAGCCTCTAACCACAACTCCCTGGCCAACAGCCGCCCAGCCAATGTTGCCAGGAAGTTTGCTAGCATTGCCAGAAGCCAAGTACGGAAGAAGCGCCAGATGGCAGCCCGAGAGAAGAAAGTCACCCGTACCATATTTGCTATCCTGCTAGCCTTCATACTCACATGGACTCCATACAATGTGATGGTCCTCATTAACACCTTCTGTGAGACCTGTGTACCTGAAACAGTGTGGTACATTGGCTACTGGCTCTGCTATGTCAATAGCACCATCAACCCAGCCTGCTATGCCCTCTGCAATGCCACTTTCAAGAAAACCTTCAAGCACCTTCTCATGTGCCAGTACAGGAACATTGGCACAGCCAGATAAACTGGCACTCAGGGACCACTTCAGTAACATTATGGAAGCCCTTCCCTTTGCCTTCTTTGCCAGCAGGGGTTTCTCTGCTCCCCACTCACAACAGTGCAGAATGTGCAGTGATTGCAGATGATGCCCTTCATCTAATGCTGACAAAGATCCAAGGCACCTCTGAGCTGCAAGTCCTTCC